GCCTCAGGCCCGTGCTCAAAGTCTTTAAGACCTGAAGACACACAGACAGGCTAAAGTGAGCTTAGTGTCATCCAGTGAGGGACCAAGTAGAGCCAGCGCCACTTCTAGAGGGATAACCGGTGTGTCCTTGGGGACCAGGGCAGCAACTCCCAGCCTTTCCCATCACAGCGCACAGAGTAAGTATGTGGTATCTGTGAGGTACCTTGGGACGTGTCCAGAGGCTTCCAGGGCGTAGCAGCGCCATGTCTGGCCCAGACAAGCTGAGAGCAGAGGGGATCGATATCTCAGCTTCTTTCAAATCCGTGTGGGAGGCTGTGGCCCAGAGCCCTGAAGCTGCCGACACCAGAGCCAGGACTTGAGTCCAGGCTGTGCGACTGCGAGTCCTGAGTTTTCTCCCCCTCGCTCCCGAAGGGGCTGCAGCTGAGGTCACTGAGGTCCCCGCCTCTTCTTCCTCCTTTATGTTTGACAAACACCTTATTGAAAATATCAGCCCATCCAGAAAGTACTGACCCTTGAGCTGAAGATTTAAGGGAGTATCCACACAGCAAGGATTGTCAAGGCCCATGCTTGGTAAGAGAACCAAAACACTCACGGAGACAGGTAGGGTCATTTATGACACTGCCCTTCCTCCATGGGAAATATTCACTTTAGGGTTCTCTGTTTAGCAAGGAAGACTTATATATTTTGTCATCCAAAGGGGTGTTTTTCCTTTAGTGCTTCAACTGAGCCTGTTCTGGGGTGTCCCTGACCTTGGATCCCCACCTTGGAGAAGCCACAAGCCAGTGGAGGAGGCATGAGGCTGGGATTCAAACAGACGTAGGTTCAGAAGATTCCCGCTCCTTTACTTACTAGCTTAGCCTCTCTGAGTAAGGGGTTGACTTCTCTACGCTTCAGTTTCCTCAGTTATAAAATGGGAGTAAAGACAACAGCACTTCCATTTAGGGTGGTTGAGCAGACTGGAGATAACGCATGTGAAAACACCTCGCCCATGCTGGCATACAGGACGTTCTCAATAAATGATGGGTCTGGACTTCCCTCACGGTGCAGTGGTGAAGAATCCACCTGCCAGTGCAGGGTACACGGGTTCAAGCCCTGGCCCGGGAAGATCCCACATGCCACGGAGCAACTAAGCCCGTGCGCCACAACTACTGAGCCTGTGCTCTAGAGCCCGCAAGCCACAACTACTGAAGCCCGCGCGCCTAGAGCCTGTGCTCTGCAACAAGAGAAGCCACCGCAATGAGAAGCCCGCGCACCGCCACGAAGAGTAGCCCCCGCTCACCACAACTAGAGAGAGCCCGTGCGCGGCAGCGAAGACCCAACGCAGCCAAAAATTTAAATTAATTAATTAATTTTAAAAATACTGAAAAGAAAATGATGGGTCTGATCATTAGTCTGACTCATCTGACTGAGGACACCAATGCTTAGGCTCCTTTATGCTTCTCCTGTGATGAAGGACAAATATTCTCTCTCGTAGACAAGGTACATGGCGTATTAGGAAAACGTACATTGTTGTCATGTCGAACATAAGCAATTACTGCGCCCGACTGGAGTTAAGTAACCCCCCCCCTATCCCAGCTGCTCTCCTCCAGAGGTTCTGAAAGCAGGGGTGTCCCCCCCCCCCGAGAACACGCTTGTGTTCTGATTCTGAACACCGATCAAAGACCCTCCCCTAAGCACCCAGAGCAGCCCAGGCATTTCCCCAAGGGGGAACGCCCGGAGGACCTGGAGTGCTTCCTGGACAGAGCCAGGCCCCGGGCCAGTGCTCATGACACACCTGGGAACGCTGGGCACCTCTCCCCCAGCCCCTCACCGCCCACTCCACCCCTGTGTCCTGCCAATGTCACCCTGAAAAGCTCTTAAATCTGCCCACTTCCCCCCACGTCCACCACCATCAGCCCAGTCCAATCTCGCACCCGGACTGCTCCGGAAACCTCTTACTTAACTGGTGTCCCCAACAGATGGGGCAGTGCCAGTGGGGGCCCAGTACCGGATCCCGAGAGCTGACTGCTAATACTCAGGAACAGTGAGAAAGGAGGTTAAACCACCAGTGGCAAGAAACAAGCCGCGGTGGGAGCCTTCACGCTGCAGGAGTAGGGGAGTTTTTTCTGAGAGCTGACTTCCCAGCCCAGTACTGCCAGGGCCCCGCCATGTGTTCCTGCAGCCCAAGTGGGGCTCCCTGCAGCAGCCCTTCCCCTCTCAGCCCTTCCACTCACATCCACCTGCCATGACCTACCCCTCCCAACCCCCCACCCCCGCACCCCGGGCAGGGGCTCCGAACAGGCCCCGCCCTGGGCCTGGAATCCTCCTCCCGCCTTCTCTGCCCGGCTAGCTTCCACCAACCCTCAGGGCTCCCGCCCAGCGCTGCTTCCTTGGGGCAGCCTTCCAGACCCCCTGACGGACCCCGGTACAAGGTCTCACTGCACTGGGGCCCTCTCCTGGGTCAGTGATCACAGCTGGGAGCTTACATTTATAACACTTGATGAATGGCTCTTTCCC